TGCGTTTTGTGCAATTCAGCCCATCGAACGATTGCCTGTTAATGATTTTCACTGCTTTGTGCTTTATTCTATGCAAAAATTATTCAGACATTGGAAAACAGTTAAAAATTTCACGCACCAGCGCATGAAAGCTGAATTCGAACCTTGAAGGGTGAATATCTTTATCCGAGTTAACAGTTTACCCATAAAAAACTTTCACGAGGCCGGACATGTTACCCGCGGGTACGGGAAGGTGAATTTGAATGGGCAAGGTTGAGCGTGGGCAGGGGGTCATTACCCTAAAATTTCAGCCTCATTGACTCCGTAGTTCCCGAGATATTGATTTATCCGCAAAAAACTTTCATGGGGCCATACGTGTTACCCGCGGGTACGGGGGAGCTGATTTTAAATTTGCGGGGTCACACGTGAGTGGGGAACGTCCCCCTAAATTTTCAGCTTCCTAGCTTTTGTGGTTCACGAATTGAAAGTTGCGGACAAGTTGGTGCGGACACACACACACAGATAACCCCGTGACAATATGCGTTTCATACTGCTGTTACACAGCACTAAACGCATAAAAAAACAAAGGTATAACTGTTGTCCACAGTTGCAGGCTGCAAGAGGCAGTCGTGTAATCCAACTGGACTTATTTGCCCTCAGCTTCCCTAAGCATAAGCTTCAGTAAATTCTGCTGAAATTATTTGTCCTCGACTTCACCTAAGCATAAGCTTCAGTAAATCTTGTCGAAATTTTTTGCCCTCAACTTCACCTAAGCATAAGTTTCCGCAAGTGAATTCCTTTTATTCACAAATTCAGGTCTGTTTTAATTTGCTTTTCTTTGCAGTACCACGTTGGTTTATTTTCCTCTTTACTGCTATTTGCAGTTCTTGCTTCGAATTCTTGACTAGCACCTTTCTTTCCCTTCTATATCCTCTCCCCAATGCCTGCCTCCAGAACCTCAGGGCACCCACCATCTCCAACCACTGTCACCGTTTATCGTCCTGAACTCCTAACGAGCAACTTCATTCCTATCCTGACCTCAATCGTGCCCTCTCCGCTGTATCTAAGCAACTACCAACCAACACCCCCCGACCACGTCCAACCCTCCCACCCATCACTCACCGGCCACGTGATCCAGACGCCAAAAACTGGGTATTGTTACCCAGTGCATCTGGCAAAGTTCCAGCAAGCGGCGCCGCGAAATAGTGTTCGCAGAGATAATAGAGCAAAGCGCTGGAGGGCCTAAGATCACCAACCGAGCCGAGTTTTTATGCGTTTTTTTGCAGCTATGCAATGCAAAAATGTATGTTGGTGAGGGGTTGTCTGTGTGTGCGCATGTCACGCATTTTCATCTCAAGACTTACAAAAGCTACAGGGCTGAAACTTTGGGGACTTAGTCTACACGCATGCACGAGCCCCAATCTCCAAAATGGGCGCCATTACCCGCGTGGTACCCACGTAGGAGCCTGCCAAAGTTTTTTGCGGGTAAGTCCATAACTCGGGGATCTGAGAAGCTAGAAAGCTGAAATCTTAAGGGGATGTTCCCCGTTCAAGTTTGTGCTAATGAGCTCAAACCCATCCCCCGGGCAAGTGTGGTACCCGCGTACGGCTCGCCAAAATTTTTTTCAGGTAAGTTCATAACTCGGGGATCTGAGAAGCTGAAATCTTAGGGGGGTGTTCGCCGTCCAAGTAGATATTGATGAGCTGTTTCGGCTAAGTTGATAACTCGGGAATTTGGAAAGCTAAAGGACTGTAATTTTAAGAGGATATTCCCCGCTCACCTAAGTCTCACCGAGCTCAAACCGAGACTCCCGGTACGCGTGGTAACCACATAAGGGCCCGCGAAATTTTTTTCGGGTAAGTTGCTAACACAGGAGTCTGGAAAATTAGAAAGTTTAAATTTCAAGGGGATGTTTCCTAACAGTTCTGGCGGCCAATCTTAATTTGTTTAGCTAGAAGCATTTGCCGAAAAAACCGGTGCCGGTAGCGACAAAAACTGCGAGGAACTGTGCGAAAAACGCATCTTCGTACGGGCAGCCCGTGCGTTGGCCAATTATTGTGATTGCGTAGCTCGTGTACAAGGGGGGTCGGGCCGAGCCGACTTATTGTGATAGCCCTGTAGTAGTAAAAATCGGCTCAGCCACGCAAGATGTGCACGTTTGTGGGTTTATGTGAGAGTTGCGAAGAACATGGTTATACGGAAGTGCCCTACTGATTTTTGCAATAGGAGTTTCTGGTGCAGGTACGAGTTTAGTGGCTTTCTGTCGTTTAGCGTCATGGACTGACACCACAATCCTGCCCATTTCGCCGATTGCTGCTTCCAGGCAAGGTCCCAGCTCCTTCCCAACTAATATTGCGATCCCTTGCCCTCTCCGGGGGCTTGGACGAGCACTACCGGTTTTTATTGCTTTTCTGCTGCCCACACTGTTCTCCACTTCCTCCCGAGCTGTGCCTTAGCAGTTGCCTGTCCATTGGTAAGAATCTTAGGAGCAGCTCTGCCATTTAGTAGGAGGAGGGCATTGCGAGTGGCGCTTATTCGCTCATCGGATGGGCGAACGATACTGAGGGTCGCACTTGAAAATACACAGCTGAAATTTCGATTCCCCCCCGTTTTTTTTTTTTCCCGCACCACACGACGTGTAATTTCGACCATTTTTGACGGCATTTCCGGGCAGTAGTTTTCGTTTCAGGTGCGACTTCTGGGCGAGCTTGCTTCTGCTCATTTTGAGCGAGGAGTTTTGTGTAAGCGATCCGTGTGGTTTTGCTTCACAAAGTATCCGGCTGATCGTTTGCAACTTGACCTGTGCGTCAGGCGGGCGGCTGCGATCTTCGGCATTTCGCATGCACGCCGTGCGCATTCGAGTTGCCCGCTGTTCCGGTGGCTAGCGTTGAGCATGACTGTGTCGCTTGTTGCTCGCTTATCAATGGAGAGGCGTGGGGGATCAATCCTGTTGTTTCTAGGATTCGAAGGAGTCGCGTTCAGGATGACCGAGTTGTTCCGATCGGCGCTCAGTTACTTCTCGCAGACGGCGCCACTGAGCG